TTTTGGGAACACTTGCTTCTATTGGAATTCCAATGGCAATTAGTTTGGTATCTAAAATGTTTGGTGGGGGACTTCATGTTGATAGAAGTGGATTATCTAATATTTCAAACGTTTACATTCCACCCACACATGGAGAGGGTTATCCTTATCGCTCACCACCCTTTATTGGTACATGGGAAAACCCTATAGGAATGGGTGTTAAAAAAAAAAAGTCCAAGTCCAAAGGCAAGGGACTACTATTAAGAAAAATCAGCCCATTCGACTCAATTCCCATTCTCGCACCATTTTGTAATTAAACCTCTATCCAACTTTGACCTCATGCAATGGGTAAAAAGACTTGGTATTAAACATTTTAGAGGAATATACAGTCGCGATGGTCTACCAAAAAAAATCAAAAAAGAATGCGGAATAATTAATCTAGATGATATGAGTGGTCCTGGAACACATTGGGTTTGTTATAGAAATATAGACAATGTAGTTGAGTACTTTGATCCATTTGGACTGATAATGCCAAATGAAGCATTAAAGTATTTTCGTACTTCTGGAAAAAGTATTGTTTACTCGATAGATGAAATACAAAATCGTAGTACTGTTCTCTGTAGTTATTGGTGTTTATATTATTTGTTTGAAAGACAAAAAGGTAATGGTATTCTAGATGTAATACATAACCCACAAATTGATAATGACAACAGCGATTTTATAAAGTCATACTTTGGGGGATAAAAATAATATTTAATAAATATTATTTTTTTAATCTTCTTATTCTTCATCTGGGGCATTTTTTAGTAATTTAACCCTGTCAACTTTTGTATTTAGATCTTTAACACTATCAACTATATCTATGAAATTTGAGTAAATGTCAATAAGACGATAAAGTTTCTTTTTTTATCACTATTTAGCTGCAACCAAGAATATTCCTCATTTCAGATTTTTTTCCATATATTTATTTCACCTACAATTAGCATTCTAGAAAGATTATCATTTTTCTTTCTAAGAATTTCCAACTCATATATTTTTGTTCTTACTTCTTTTTCAAAATCCTTGAGTGTTTTAACATCCATCTTTTTCTCTATCTCAGAAAAGAATTTGGTTTCCATTTTATTTATATGAATAGATAGTTTCCTTTTACAACTTTGTTAAGCGTATTTGATTTCTCACTTATTTCCATAAGCAACTCAAATACTTTTATAAATCTAGTGTCATTTTCCAATCTAGAAAAATCAGCATATTCATAACTCATATTTAGGTTGTTGTATATCTTTTGAAGTTCACTTTTCAGAAAATTAGATCTGGTAGTCATACTTAGTAGTTGTATTTTTATCTAAACATTATATTAAATGAAAGAATCTTATTGTATCGTAGATAAAAGAGTAACTCCTTGTACAGAGCCAAGTGGTTACCAAACTGATAAAAGAGGTAGAACTCAACTCTTTTGTAGATGTGCAGTTTGTGGAAATAAAAAAGTTAGATATGTAAAAATGGGGAATATCCCCCTGCAAACTGGAAGTGGAAAAAGAAAAACTAAAAAGAAGTCAAAAAACTAATCAGCCCGTCAGAGATGGCGGGCAAAGGTATTGGTGATTTTTTTGGACCAATAAAAACAGGAATTAATGTAGGTCAAAAAATATCAAAAACTTTATTTCCTCAAACAAAGCCATTATTTAAAGATTATTGGTCTGGTGATATTGCCAAAGGTGTTGTTAATTCAGAAGATGGTATATTTACTTCCAATTTCTGGACAGGAGATACAACTGTTTTTCGTAGTCATGGTAAAAAATTTTATTTTAAAGAAGGAAATCCCATAATGATTGTTAAGCAAAATGGAAAACAAATTGGTTATGCTCATGAAAGAGATTTTTTCAATGGAGGATTAGGAACCAACAAAATATACAAATCTATAGCAGAGATTAAAAACAAATATGGTGGTGCTCTAGCCAGAAGAAAACCTACATTAACAGATAAAATAGCAGAAGGAGCAGCAATGTTTGTAAATCCAACTGCAAGTTGGCCAGCAGCTTTTATGAAACTTGGTAGCCAAGGTTTAAAAGGTGTGACTGACAACATTCATCACTATAGAGGTGGTGCTGTAGATATCCATAAACAGATTGGTAAATTGCCAAAACCAAAAGGAGGATGGACCTTGCCAGGACATAAATATACCGGTCCTTATAATGATCTCGAAAATCAAGTAAGATACAATCCAAAAACTGGAGAAATATTAGAAATTTACGATCAACCAACTGGACCAACCGATGCTGTAGCAATGCAACATGACGTAGATTATAGTGTTTGTGGCGATGACCGAAAGTGTAAAAATAAAGCTGATAGAAAGATGGTAAAATCACTGGATGCTATTCCTTGGAAAGAAAGACAATGGGGGCATACTTTAGCTAGAACAATAATTCATACCAAACAAAAACTTGGAATGGGAACAAAAACGTAAAGCGGCGTTGAGTAGTGATTGGTCTCAACAGTTAGCCGACGAACTTCACAAACCAATCACACGAAACTTTCAAAAGAGATCAGTAGTCTCAAACGGAATCGATGATATTTGGGCTGCTGATTTAGTTGAAATGCAAAAGTTTAGTAAGTGGAATAAAGGCATTAAATATCTGATGGCAGTTATTGATGTGTTTAGCAAATATGGATGGATTAAACCTCTAAGTAACAAAAAAACCGAAACTGTTAGTAAAGCATTTGATGAAATATTTAAATCAAGTAAACGTAAACCTCAAATGTTATGGACTGATAAAGGTTCCGAATTTATAAGCAAACATTTTAAAGATTTTCTTAAAAGAAAGGGTATTGAGTTGTATCACACTGAAAACGAGGAGAAATCTAGTGTTGTTGAAAGATGGAATAAAACAATGAAAAACAGAATGTGGAAGATGTTTACTGTGAATAACAACACTATTTACTGGGATAAGATAGACAAACTAGTTGATGATTACAATAATGCAAGACATTCTAGTATAGAAATGACTCCTGTTGAAGCAAGTAAAAAGAAAAATGAAAGTAAAGTTTGGTCTAATTTGTATGGTGAATCTATTTACTTGAAACCTGGTAAATCAAAGTTTGCAATTGTTGATCGTGTTAGAATTTCTAAGTATAAGAGGAAGGTATTTGATAAAGGCTACACACCAAACTGGACAGAAGAAATATTCGTAATTGATAAAGTTTTACCTACAAAACCTGTTATGTATAGAATTGTTGATCTGATGGGAGAAGAAATTAAGGGTTCTTTCTACAACCAAGAATTACAAAAAACAAAACAACAAACATTTAGAATAGAAAAGATTATCAGACGAGATAATAAGAAAAAAATGGCATTAGTAAAATGGAGTGGATATCCTGATAAATTTAACTCATAGATTAGTTCTAAGGATTTGGTTGATTTTTAATACGAAATTCGTATTAAAAATAGTTATTTACTCGTTTTCTTCATCAGAGATAACTAAGTCTTCGACTACTTAATCAATTATTTCTTCGATATCGCTTTGCTCTTCATCTTCCTCTTCAATTGTTAGTAAAGACTCTCTTGGTTTGAGTGGTTTGACATAACACTCAAGAACTTTTATTTGTAAAGATGTCACAGTTTTACTTATGAAGATTCCTTCAATTATCATAGCCAATTTAACATTACAGTATTGATTTATATATTCAAAAGGATTTAAATCCTTACCTCCCTTTCCCTTAAACAAAGATAAAATTTTCTTTGATTTTTCTGAGTAAATAAGTTTCGCATAAAAAACTGGTGCGGATGAGGGATCATTTCTTGTTTTCTTCTTTCCTTTTTTATCAGTGTATTCTTCCTGTTTGTAATATAACGGAGAAGTAAGAGTTGAAGCTAAATCTGGTCCATATTCATTCTCTAAATGTTGCTGAGATAGAGATGTGAGGTTATTAATAACTTCCAAAAATGCTTTTTCTTTGTTATTTGGTTCGCTATCTTTAGCCCAAAGACATACTGGAGTACTATAACCTACCAACTTTTTTGTTTCTTGATTTTTCTTTTCACTAACACCAAAGCTAAAAAGAAATGGGGTTTCGATTACAAGCGGTCCTTTCTTTCCATTCAAATATTTGATTTCAATTGGGATACGTTTGTATTTAATCTTACTATCTTTGACTTTAAATTCTTTGGCTTCTTTAAAGATAATATGTCTTGGGTAAGATTTTCGTAGCTGGACAACTGCATTTTGATTACAATTATTTAATCTTTAAACATTTTTTTTCTAAAAATTCAAATGTGTATCTATCCCTATCTTTTTTGGAAATCACTGTTTTATAATAATTTACTTTTCTACAAATATTAGAAATAATTGAAAAGGAAATATCTAATTCGAGTGAAGCAGAAGTAATACTTTCATAATTTTTTTGTTTGTTATTTTTAATATTAAATGATAATATAGGTTTACTATTTCCTTTTCTAATATTTTCTGAGACAGTAATTGTAAATTTTCTATTTTATCATTTGTTTTAACAGAATCAATATGATCAATAACAAATCCTTCTGGTATTACTCCTTTAATACATTCCCATTCAAACCTATGTATATAGTAAGTTTTTGGTTTGATTAGATTTTTATCGCTAATTTTAAACTGATAGTAACCCTGATAAGTCAAATTTTTTTTAAAAATTCTTCCAGTTTTTACATTTAAAATTTCACCTTCTTTTGAAGCGGCATATTTACTAAAAATAGGATGAATATAGAACTTTTTTCCTCCAATTGTAACTTTTTTGCGGTTCATTTTTAAAAAATCTTTTAATTCTTAAGCCCATTTTCAATTATGGCTTCTATAGAATATAATCTTCCTGAAATTTCTTTTAATCCTTCTTTTAATCCTTCTTCTAAAAGTTTTATAAGTTCTTTCTTAAAATTATTATCGTAATTATTAACAAAATATTTACAAGCTAAATCAATATCATTAGATGAACTAGTTAAACCATCATTACCATTTGAACTCATTTTATTATATATTTTGTTTATTTCTTTGAAATCATTTTTTAGGCCAAAGTAAATGAACGGACCAGAAGTTCGCCAATTCAGGATTATTATAAGTTAACTCCCCCTGTTTATTTTTAATCTTTGTAGCTTGAGCGAGAAATTTATCTCTTCTATCTTTGTCTTTGTGAGTAAGATAATCCGCATATTTTGTCGATCCAAAATGAACTTTTTTTCCACTTGGAAGTGTAGCCATGTATTTGTTATTTTTTCGTGTTGAATAATCAAGCGATTCAGCACCAAGTTTTTTAGCATTACTAATTAATTTTTTAAACTCTTTTCCACTAACAAGATATTTTTCATCTGGAATATAATCTGGATCCACATCATGCCTATAACCATCATCAACTATAAAATCCAAATCCTCTTTTGTAGGAGTAGTTTCTCTTGATCTTGGTTCCATTTTTTTTTTTATTATTTGTTTAGACTATTTTTGTTGGAAAAACCCCCCTACTCAACTGACCAAATTGAAATTTTCACTATTATAATCTTATAACAAAAAAAATGTTATAGGATTTAAAATCATCAATCACTATCACTATCACTATCAATAAAGAAACTATAAGTCATTCAGGGTTCTCCTGAAATTTTGAAGTAGAAGGAGAACGAAGGGGAGTAGCCGTCAGAGAAAATTCTTTAAGGCGCGACAGTGCCTTCCACATGCCCTTGGCGCGTGTGGGGGGAGAGTATGGGAGGGAGGACATCCCTCCCATAGGGGGGTCCGGGTGGCCTTCCCCTGGAAAAATTTTGCAATTTGGAGCTCGTAAAGTGCATTTTGGAAGATGACTGCCATGATGATAGAACTTTTATTAATCCACCTTCTCACATATATTACATTTTTGAGAAAAACTTCAGAAATGCGATGCACCCAACATCAAAGTTCAATTTTTTCTGTAATAGTTCAAAAATAGTTTAAAGATCTGATAGTGTGTTAAAATGTCTAGAAATCAACGTCAAACTCGAAGTCTGAATCTACATCAGACGACTCCTCTAGCATGTCCATCTCAGTAAGTGCCTTGTGAACACTGTTTGCGAAGGCTGATGCCTGAGTTACTAGCTGGGGTTCTTCTTCCATCGACATCACATCCATATTTTCTGCAATAGAATGAAATAAACATCAGTTCTTAACTCAATAACTGGCTATTTTTTGTTTCTTTCTAAGCTATAATCTCTGTGTAATCTTAATTTTAATTGGGGCTATGTTTGATTTGAAGTTATTTATATTACCAGTAATACTTACCAGGTGTCTCAGTCTGAGTGGCAACAGTTGCCAATTCAGTGATCCTTGCATCTCCGTGCTTACTGCCACCAATCCTTGGGAGGTTCAATGGAGGTAGGTTTCTCTTGTGGGTGTTCCTCCATACTTGTGCTGCCTCTGCCAGGATTACTTGACACTCTTCGGACTTTGGCTCTGGTCCATTGATTGAAACATGAAGACATGTCGACAGCATGTCATTCTTCAGGCGGTTTCTTAGCCTTGTCTTAACCCTTTTGACAGCACTGGCTCCTCTTTCAACAACAGCATTTGACATCGGCTGTGTCAGACAGATCTTTGCAGCATCCACCAAAAAGCTGTAGCTTTCTCTGAGTAGTGCTTGCTCTTTCACGATTTTACGAAGAATCCATTCGGTGGGTGATAGTTTGACTCCTTCCCACCTTGCAGCACATTCTGAGGTGGCTTCCAGGATAGCATGAGGTATTTGAAATTCTGCCACTGGGTTGTCATCTGATCTTCACTGAATTGGAATTGATCAGCTAAAATCTTCACACTGGCCACACCATGTTCCATGAACTCAGGATCAGTGGTAGCAGGCAGGGTGGTTGGATTGAAGATGCTGAAGGCCTCTAACACTGGAGCAGCTTGAGTGAAGCGTCTGTCCAGGTTCTCTTCTAGTGCTAAAGTGTAGCTTTGGCACAGGTTGACCAATACTTCTTCTTGTGATGAGGGAAGAGTAAGTTCTAAATCTTTGTACTGGCCCATCAAAGCTTCTTTCAGGACATGTAGTGGCTTGCAACTGGATCTTATTTCAGTGATTCTCTTCTTTGTCAATTCCAATGATGGCTTAATGGCAGAATAATGGATTTTGTTTTGTTGGAATACTTTACTTAAGGTGTTAAGGTGAGGAAGAACTTCATTTAAGATGAGAAGGGTACCCACAAACTTGACGTTATTCATCCTTTTTAGCAACCCATCAGCTGTGGCATCATGCTCCTTGAATTTTCTGAGAGTTTGCATCAGTGCCACCAAATTTGTACAAACACTTGATACACTTTGCCCTGTTGACAGCCATCGTGTCCTGCAGGCCTTCTGGACTTTTACAGCCAATGACTTCTTCTGCGCAGCATCTGGCACTTGAATTTTCCTCAAACTTTCACAGACCTTGATGTATGCAGAGCATCTCTTGGGGTATTCGAGCCACTTCCAGAGCTGCTTGAGCGTAGTTTCCACTGTGGTAATGAATTTGACCCGATCATTCGCATCTCCATAGGCCAGAGCCAATCTATGGTTTATACAGTGCTCTTATGAGAAGAGGACACACTGCTTGTAGTCTGGCACCAACACCATTATGGGCTCCTGTCATCACACTGGCACCATCCGAACCGAATCCACAGGCATGTTCAACTTGCAGGCCACTTTCTTTCAGCTCCTCAATAATTAAACGGGTGATCGCTTCAGCATCAGCAGAATCGGATGTTGCAAGGCAATCTTTAACTTCCAAGAAGTCAAAGTGGGTCTCGCCTGTCTCGTCCCACATAACCAATGTAAATGAGGAGTTGTTCGATCACAGCACAATCTGTCACTTCACAACGAGGATGCTGAACCACTTTGCTTCTTTGATTCGTGCTAGCGTCGTCTTCTTCAGTAATTGCCCCAGTAGCAATCTCTGCTCCCTTTGACATCGCTCACTTGTGTTCTTCCAGTGACTCATTTCTTGAAGACCAACCTGTTCTTCTAGCTTTAACAATGACTTCAACTTCACATTGGCAATCTCTTCATGTGCTAGCCAGTAAACACTCAGCATAGCATTGAATGTCACCTTGTCTGCTTTTTTGCTTGTACAGTTTTGTGCTGTTGTGCAAGGGGGCTCTTTTCGCCTCTCCAGTTCAAGAAGATAGGTTCCAAGGTGCCCAGTTGACCTTGCATGGCCCAGGTCTTTTTTGCCTACAGGGTGCCCATCAGCCTTGGAGTTGAAGAGAGCTGATCTCTTTATAGCGAACGGATGGCTCACAGTTAAACTTGCAATCTTTGTTGTATCTGTTCTTTGTGTTATGTATGCGACAAAGAAGGCAGTACATCCCCTCCCTTCAATGAAAACAAGCCACCACATCCCTGTTTCCTTGAAAACGTGAGGGTTTCATCGAATAGCCATTTGTGCTGGAATTTGTCACCTTTTCCTTGTTGCTTTTGTTGCTCTTGTTTGGAAAGCTCTGTACACGAGCCCTAACAGGTGTAATAACTGTGCAGGGTTTTTCCGCTAAAAGCCTGGGGAAAGTACTCTTCCAGTAGGTTCATGGCTTCCTTGTGTTCCAGTTTAGGAGGAGTAGAAGTCCGTGACGAACATTCGCAGATGCTGTTTCACCGACAGTGCCAGACGATTTAGAAGGCGAGGGTTCTGGATGCTGGCACTTGTACAGGAATCCTCTTCATCAAGTGCTGGGAAATTGATAATGCAAACTAAAGGATTGCCTACATTGCCTGTTAACCCTAATTTTCATATAAAAATTAAAACAATCAATTTGCAGTGCATTTAAATGACTGAAAACTCGTGAAGACAATCTTAAAAAATCTTTTCTAGAAATGGGGTATTATAACGTTCCCGTAAAAAAAGAAAACTAGGTTATTTTATTACTTGTAGTCTTCAAAATGCTTAGATGAAGAATAAAAACTTTCCTGACCAAATCTACGGATTCTCCGTTGGAATTCTGTCGTGGGTTCCTAAGTCCATGGAAAATTATCTCAGGAACTGAAAGAATGTAAGTTTTAAGGGGTAAATTAAATTTAAGTTTAAATTTTTTGAGTTGTATTTTGTCACTTCTTTACTTGTTTTCAGGGAAAGCCGAGAACGAAAAATGAAAAACATCATTTTCAAAAACCGCCCTGCAAATTTGTAATGCATTTCGTTGACGAATTTCTAGCAACAAAGCCGGCCAAGAAATGTTCAGGGTTTTTTGTTCGGGTTGTTTCATTCAGTCGTTGCTTTGTTCGTTCGTTTTTTTCGATCGATGGATCGATTGTTCATCTGTTTCTTATAAATTTGCAGAATGTAGTCTTTATTTTTTTTAAAAAATGCGGGTGCATCAAGCCACGCTTTGCAAGGTGTTAAGTTTGAAAACGTCGCAGAAAACGTGACTGAAAATGTTCTACAGTCCCACAAAGATCAGATCTTACCGAACGGGTTGATCAAAGAAATGAAAGCACATGAACAAAAGGAACATTTTTTGTATGTTTATTGAATCTAAAATATTCCGTGTCGGTCGGGCTGATCGCGTTGGCGACGTGTTGAAAGTATAAAATTTAATTATGCGTACTTTCGATTCGGATATAAATAGAAATAAAATTTACAAAGGAAAATCAACCTACCTTGTTCTGTGCCTTCTTTGGGCCTTTTATTCCACGCGTTGAAGAGTGTCTGTTGTTTTGCCAGTCGCTTCATTTCGGTTCTCATTTGTTGCAATTACGTTTCTGTTCTCATGAAAAAATTTTTCCGTGCTGCTGTCACGGGTCGGTGCACACGTGAAAAATGCCGCGATTACAAGCGGCAAGACGTTGTATCAAACTTCACCTATTTTCAATTTTCATGCCAAAACTTTGATTTTAATTACAGTTTTATTTCAACTTGGAAACGGTAATGCATTTGTTTTTATCACCGCGCTTGAAGTGAAAAGTTTACACAGTGAATTTTTCCATCTTCCAAAATAAATATTTTTTTATTTGGATCTGAGTAGCCGGCGTGCCAAGGACGACTAGATGGCGATTTTCGCCGGTCCCCGGGGCTTACGGAGATCTCTGGTCATTTCTTTTATTTTATCTTTAAATTTTATAAAACTTTCAAAAAACACTTTAAAACCTGTATCATCATTTTCATACTTTTCTTGATCAAACTTACAACTAACTGGATCGAAAAATAAATCCATATTTTCATCTAATTTACATTCTAAATACCCTATAAATTTAACATCTTCCTCTTTAAAATAAAACTCACTAATATCTTTAAAATATTCTAATTTTTGAAAGATCAAAAATTTATTAAAACAAAGAATAAGCTTTTTAGCTTGGGAAGTATTAAACACATTTTCTTCATCTATTTTCTTTACAAATCTTTCACATTTCTTATTAATACCTATTATAAAAAGGTATTCATTCTTAAAATACTTTGCGTAATCTGGGATATTCTTGTTAAACATTGTGTTTTATTTTTATATTAAATTCTTTAAATCATTTTATTTTTCCACTTCAACCTTAGTAAAACAGGTTTTACCAGAAATTAGTTGATAACGGTACTTAATTAGCTAATGACGTATTTAATCAGAAAAAAAAGTCAATGATAGAAAATAACCAGAAAAAAGTCTATGACGTAAGACAGAATTTAATTGAACAATGACAGAAGATAAACTCAGAAATTTTTAAAAAATATAGTACAAAAATTTTTTAGTTTAATTTCCGTCATTGTTTTTTGGAGATGAATGAGGGAAATAATTGAATAATGACGGGAAAAAGTACAGAGTGAGTGAGTAGTATGGAATCATTACCTAACTACTATGGGGTGTGCCACCAAAAAATAAAGAAAAACTGTTGATTCAACAGCTGAAAGGGCTTTTTTGGGTAGTACCCTTGCAAAATTGCATTAAAATGATAACCTGTCATTCCATCTCATTACGTCTAAGACAGCTGTAATTTTCTTCAAGTTTACAAGGAAGTTTGGTAAAATTGCTTTGACAAATGCTTTATTGGCGCACTACAACAGCTACGCAAGACCACAAAGTTAAATTTGCCATATGAGAGGTATTATCTTCAATACCGTTATGATACTTTTCCATTATACTAAGACCGTTTTTCCAGGTGGCCCAAAAAAGTGACAGTAATATCGAGGTGACCATATAACTAAGGTGCCGCCGTGAGGTGGGGTTTCACTGTACTTCTTGTTAATTTCAATGATCAAAACAAATGGTCGTCTAGAAAATGTGCCATCCCAGTTCTTTTAAAGCACCTTTTATTTTATGGGCATTTTTCAGGAGTGAGTGAAAGACACTTTTTCGCAATTCTTGTGCAGTTTCCATCCTTTTAAACATGTTGAGCCTTAGCACCAAAAAAATAAACATCACTTGCTTTTGATTGCCTGTCTCCACGATGCAGTTCAGGTGCTATATGACTGTAACGTTTGCACACCTCCTTAAAGTCAACGCTAGGTTTTAAAATCGTCGCCTTGGTTATTTTTACCAAAGTCAATCAGTACAGGTTTATGGGTTGCACCATCCAACAGAACATTGTTTCTATTAAGATCATCATGCAGAAAACCTTTTGTGTGAAGAAACAATAAAATTTTGCCGGATTGGCTCAGAATGTGAAACTGCAATAAGCGTAAAAGTCTCTTGGCCTTTAATAACAACACCACAAACCAAATTCGGATGAAGATTTATTGTAGCCAACGTGCTTGGTACTTGAAATAAAATGTGTGGTACAAAGAGTGTGCATACAAACAGCGTGGGTTGAAACTAAAACGGTAAAAGAGCAAAAAAGTTACAAGTTGCGACTAAGGTAAATTAGAGTAAGGAAATAACAAAACTGCAAAGCGAGGACTGTGAAGTACACTTACATTGTTTTGGCCAGAGAAAACTGCTGTGAAGTGGACTGTGAATAACGCGAAGAGACTTGCAGCAAACTAAACAGAAGTGCGCTAAGCACGGACCAAAATGAACTGCACAAAGTGTAATGCAAAACTACAATATGAAAAATACGCTAGAACATGCGGAAAATAAAACTATGGAAAATTAGAAAAGGTGCTAATGAAGATGAAACAGCAAAGAAACGCTAACGAGGGCGCGAAAACTGACAGAAAGGAATAAACACCTAAATTAATGCAAAAAGAAGACTAAACAAAAGGACGAAAAGAAGTATAAACTAATTTGCGTACCCAAAGGAAAAACAAATTACGCAAGAACGGATAATAGAAAAATGTTACACTTGGATCTTACAGAATGAATGCTAATTAAATGTGGTAATCAGGGTTGAACCCCAAGTTCTGACAATAACGTGTTCCTCCCTTGTTTCTTTCTTTTTTATTTCTTTGACAGTCACCATGATAGAGTGCAGGAAGGGTTTGCTGAATGTCCGGGAGCCAATTAATTAAGCCCCGTCCAATGCCCACAAAGTATTTGTACTTTTCAAAATCATTGCTTCCATTGGACGAAAAAGCTGAAACAAAAGCTGTTGACGATGCTTTGTCATTTCTTGAAAACACCAGTTAAATAGTTGGATCCTGGCTCCACTCTTTCGAAAATCCCTGCTCCAGCCTGAGTGACACCTATGCCACAGCTCCCACATCCCTCTCCAGTCAATGACTGCAGAGGCATACCTAAGTGTGATACCATTTTAGTGAATGAAGCTAACAACGGAGAGAGAAAAACCTTGCGGCTGATGAGGATGAGTTATTTGTCATCGGTAACGATGTCCTATTTCTTATTCGATGCTTTCTTACTCAGAATAGGCAGAATTTAATTCGAGGAGCATTGTCTTTGAGTTTCCCGCTTTTTCCCAATCAAGTTCAACTGTGTGAAACTGTGTAAAACATAACTGACGATTTTACGCTCACATTTTTGCAAACTGATGAAAGGCCATGAAAGACTTATTGCCACTTCCAGTGACAAAAAAATCTGTTGTTCCACTGTTGTTTTTGTTAACTGTTTGACTGAACGGTTTGAACAAAGGTACCACACCGCAACAATAAGGCAAGGTTTTCCATAACAGCAGTACTTAACTGGTCTTTAACATCTGTGATGTTTTTGCTAATGACTGCTGTATCAACTTACCTTTCATGGCTTGAATTGCCTTGAACCCGGTGCGTTCTCTGTTGTTGGATGACAACATCAGTCCAAATTCTCCCTGATAACACAGGCAGTACTTCTCAGGTTCCTCTATAAATGAGCAAAAACGAGAACTCAGTCATAGCTCAAGTGCTCTAAATCCCCTAAAAGGCAAAAACAATTGTTAATCAACCTTTTGTCATTACCACCCTTATCTTAATGTGGCTCTGGTCATTAACAGATAACTGAATTATCAGGCTGTTAACACCTAACAGTATAGTCTGGTCAATACTAAGAAAACACTGAGCTGTACAATAGTCTCATGCAAAGCCAAAAAAAAAAACATTCTGAAACCATTGAACTTGACAACTAGGTCCTTTGCACATGAGAATGTTCCCATGCTCTTCCTCACGACACCAGCACCACACACCCTTGTCTGGGGCGGCCTTGTCACCTGTGAACAAAATTGAATACATAATGTCATTTTGTGTTTGTCAACAAAACGAAGAAATGCAAATAATTAAGAGCCAGTTTCTGTAAATATCAAAAATCCGGCGCCAATTTCCTCATATTTTACCCGAACAAAGCCACCCAATTTAGTGAGTTATTTTCGAAAATAAAATTAAAGGATCCTAAAGCTCTGAAGTGTTTTCAAACTCGAGGGAAGTTTAAAGAGCACCATTTTGGCCCTCCACCGCCGTTGAAAATTGACAAAAATGGTGCATTTTCCTTTCGCTCATGCTGGTAAACGTGATAACAGCTAGTGATGTACATTTGATACATAATAGCACTTCACTTGCTCTTTCTAAAAGACTAGATTATTTTCTAAAAGCTGTCAAATTAGTCTTTTTTCTGACCATTTTAGTTACCCCACTTGAAGTGTGTGAGTGACCAGGCTAATTTTTGCTTACTTCCACACCAAAAAAAGCCCACTGGTACATAGAATTTGAAGTAAAAACTAAAATGCTCTTAAAGCATGTCATTATACTTTCTTGTGTAATGATTTTATCTGCGGCCCGCAAAAAGTGTCCTGTTGAGAAACGGAAAGTTGAAGTCTATTTTGGCATCCGATCAATTTTCGGAGCAACATATCACCCCACAGGGTCCAGAGGAGTTTCGTGTGAATAAATGAATTACTTATTTAAAGTCTCACCTTGAAAAATGTCTATAGCTGTCGCTTAGCACGATTAAGTAGCCCAATGGGATCTTTATAAATCTACTGTAAACGATTTCTTCGCTTCTTATCTGACCCAGATCGACTTTTGAAAATCAATAACCGCAAGCCATATCCTTGCTGGTGCACGGCACATCGCCCGAAGGGCGACTGAGGCACGAAGTGAAGGACAAGGGAGGAAACTTGAACCATGTGATTTCGTTCGGTGTGAACCGCATCACTCGGTGACAAAAGTGAATAAGACCGAAAATGCAAAAGCAACAGACCGCTGCTAATTCGAGAATGAAAACATCAGCTGCGGAGAGAGTCTCAGAGATCTATGCGAAGGCAACAGAGTTTTAATTGAAGTGAAGATTTTCAAGACTAGACATTTGTTGTACATGTCAACAGTCTTCGATGTCTTAGGAAGGTTTTGCTTGTTCGAAGGGTTCCCAGAAGTCGCAAAACGCACAGCCAAAGACGCAGGAGGTATAGTTGGGACCACTGAAGAATGGCACAGTCGTGATGATATTACAGTCACCTTGTACGTCCGCTCTACTCAATGTCTCGTTTTATTGCAAGAGTACACATGACCCGTAAATCACTATCCGTAATAATTTAACATTCTCCAAACAAAACTATCGAGCTCGGTCCAGCGTGATACAGCATTGCAGAAAAACATTACATTCACGGGCTAAGGAAAATCGGTTTGTTCTTAAGATCCAGAAGGCTCTTTGGAGAAAACTGGAACCGTTATTCAGCCGTAATAAAAAGCTTCACGCTTCCAAAGAGTTCAAAGAAAATGCACATTTACTTTACTACGTCATTTCTGTCACCATCTGTTGCGGTGCACAGCAAACGAAAGCGAGGCTGCAAATTTCGGTCGCCGAAAATGAATTTGAATGCTTTTTTATGCCGTTTTCCTACAGTATTTGGCATAAGAATTCTAGATCAGGTTAGTAAAATCAGGCGATTTCATTCAATTCCATTTTAGTTTCAGGGATTCGAAAATCGGCCCCAAATTTGTTTCCTCCCTTTCCGTATTTTATACTGTAAGCTGATCTTGCGAGCCCTCAGTCTCTTGTTTTGCGGTCTAAAGAATGTGTAACGAAACTGTAACGCGATCAAAAGAACCCATTTTTTCAGAGGTTTTCGATGGGTTTTGATGTTGTAACGATAAACACATCTCCTCTGGACCCTGTGATCACCCTTCGTACCCACTCTAACAAATAAGCTATTGCCCCGAAAAAACCATCGACATGTTTCTTAGCACTTGAATATTGGATAATAGACACTCATTGTACTGCTTAAGTGCTAAAAACGCTTCCATTGCATTGACTCATGTCAACACCAAGTCAATAAACGACCAAACCAGTCAAAACAACCATTTGAATTTCAGTTCGTTTCACGGGTTCCACAGCACAGATTGTAGTTTTAAATGCGTATATTTTGTTTAGTACTTCGAACTTATAAGTTTTTAATACGATGTTTAAATTACCATTTTCCAAAACAAAGAAATAAAGGGTTTTTACAGCTTTCAGCTTTGATTAACAGAGACATTTTGTAACATTATGTTGTGTGACCAATTCGCTCACCCCTTTGAAAGCTAAAACTTGATGGGAAAGGAAAATGACTTTAAACCCCTCATCCAAGAACAAATGGCATTAAAAAGTTTCTGTTATCTGATTACATGGGCAGTTACAGAAAAAGTCGTAAAAGTTAAGTCGATGAGAGACAAGCATTGCAACAGTATGGGTCCCGTGGCAGTACATTTAATTTTGATTTTCAATTGTCCCTTGTTCTGAGGGATTGCAGGAAACCGTGTACATGAAAAAGCATACCAGCGTGCTTTCCAGTTCATCTACTTGACTTTCATTTGTCTGGTATTAGTATATGAATGTATTTCTCGTCGAGCAAACTTAACATGGAACAGTACGCCATCATGACTTAGCCAAAGTTTTTATTGATTTTTTCAACACAGGGTGCACCGAGCATGAGCATGAGGTTTGTTTTTATGACTGTAAGATAAGTTTTAATTCTACTGTAATTTAAAGTCAACTTTCATCTGTTTCTGTTTTTTTTTCTAATTAAAAATGTGCTTGTCCCACGGACAAGTTATGTCAGGTTTACTTGTCTGAACTGTATTCCTGTTTGTCGCTGACAATTGGACATCGCTTTTGGTGCACCCTGCAACATAGATGTTATAATGCTATATTCTCCTAATGACATTTGAATTTGGAGTGAAACGTTAGATTAGTGATGAAAGTGACGTCTTAATTTCACATTTTGCTAATAAAGAATTTATAATCATACAAAAGGTTGACAAAAACTAATTTAAGCTGGCAGTTGAGCCAAAGGTAGCACTTGGAGATGTTCTTTAGCCTTAAGAGATTCCTCAAGAGCGTCCCCAAGAGCGTCCTTTACAAATGAGAAAGAAATCTTTTCCTGAAAAGCTCTTGGAGGTGGGTGATGATCTCCTTCCACATTATTTTTTTTCATTTAACAGGAGATAGTGTCTCACCTTCATAGGGTACGTGAATTTTATCCCCTGGCCATGACAGTCTGCAAGTTGATCTCAAAATTATGGGAAATACCTTGCAGGAAAATCTCCTATATTTAGATGATGCCAACCGTCTTGGAATAATGTCTTGTTTTTGAACCAAGTATTCTGTTCCTTGTTAGTGAATAAAAGCATGCAAAATTCAAGCTCGTTAAACTGCCACTTTCCCCTTTACTTATCATCAGGGAATTTTCCTTGTAAATTCAACTAACCAACAGCAGTGGTTTTTGAACTGTGTATACTTGTGCTTGAATAAAGATTTTGTCTTAATTTTATCCCACAGCCTTCAACTTACCATTGCACTTTCTCTCTTGGGAATGAGCCTTTCTACCTCCCACATCCTTCGTCTACGTTTTATCTTTCTTTCTCGCCACAGGTAACATATCAACGTTAGATGTGCTATTTATAGAACCATAAAAACTGCTTTCTCTTCTCTTGTGAGGTGCCATTATTATTATGATAGGGAAGGAAAGTGCGTGCACCATTCAGATAGTGCGGTAAAATGATTGACAGCTTAGTTAATAGGGCTGAGCACATTCGGAGACTTGCGTAACAGATGCCCCTGGGGAAAGCATATGTGAATTAAGTCCATGTGGTCTATACCTGACACCTCAAATGTAAGTGCAGGTGATTGCATTCCTTTACTTTACTGAGAAGCAAATGGCGATGGCAGGCTTTTCTATAAACAAATGAGGAAGATCTTCTATCTCTGGTAAAACCGTAGAGGATTAGATGTGTGATAATCGATTTGATTACATATTAGCTAGAGTTGGGTATTTTGAAGGGGAGTTCAAGGAAGTTGCTGATCAGTACCGAGTCCCGGGTCAGTTCATTTCAAAATTTTAGAAACTTGGTGGGAAACTGGGGATGATTTGTCCGAAAAAAGGACATCTGGAAACTTTTGTCACCTTAAGTTAATGGTAGCCATTAAGAAACTAGATTTCTCCACAGTAAATAACAGCCACTTATTCAATTCTGCATGACACCAGTTTCGATTATCTTACATTCATGTCGCTTGGTGGATGTAATTTCTGGAGTTGATTTTGGCTGCCTCTGCATTTTGATTTTTAGCCTCCTGAAGGTTGTACCTGACAGTGGTTGGGCACATCTGAAGGCATCATCGTGAAACGAATCTCCCAGTCGCAAGTTGACATAAATATCCTCATCGCCCTTGTACTGAATCTGTACTTCTTTATGAGGAATAAATTGTAAACGCTCTTTATTGCTTACGATTTGAGGACCACCTCCCATAAGCGACCACCTATCCAAAACACCCAAAACTTTCCCAGTCAAAGACTTGGAATCTCTAGTAAACGACCACTTCCTGTAAGCAACCGCTGCCCCTTTTTGGGCCTGAAAGTTTAACGATTTTCCTGGTGTTTTTTGACCTCTTGTGAGCAACCACTTGACATATTCTCTGATCACTATGTTTGCTGTGTGCACTTTGCTGCTTAGAATATATAAAGAACTTTAGTGACAACATGGAACCACACTGGGCATAACTTCCATAGAGTATGTGTACCTGGACCTCTTCTCGAAAGAGGCTGCTTGTGGTTTGGGTTCTTGAAAGCAACCTGTTGTAAGCAACCTGTTGTAAGCGACCAAGTCTTGTTATTGTTATTGTTGTAAAATACCCCCTTCCAACCTCTGAAGCCTGGAGATTAAACGTGAATTGAACATATCAAAGAAACCGATTTTTTTTAAGAACAAAAATATCAGGGTAGTAAAGCTTGGCCACATCCATACATTTTCTTGGAGGTTTGTAAAAGAATCATTTCAAAATTGAGCCCCCAATCATATGCTTGAAGGTAATCTGCTGGCCGTAGAAAAGTGCTCTAAGTTCAAGTTTAAAAATGACTGGAAAATCAATTTAAGCATTTTTTCAGTATTATGGATTCTTTTCTGAGATCATTATCGTCATATACCATAATACCATTTTTGAAGTATAATTTTGCTATTTCCTTGTACAGTCCTTTCTACACCACTTATGGCATGAGGCATTGAACAAATATCACACTTGAATTTTATATTATTTATTGCAGAGCTACCATACATTTTACCAAGTACTGCAGTGACCAAAAATGGAACTAGAATCTTACACTCAGGTCACATCAATGCGATAACTTACATGGGCTTGTAGAACATAGAAAAGTCATGTACACATCTTTGACCATCTTGGTCAACTCTCCATGCCGAGGTCCATATATTTAGAAGTTATGGGCAAACAGACAATTTAGTATTTGGGAAAAAAATACAAAGCAGGCCATGGCATTTTGGTCGGTGTTCCCCCTTCTCAGAGACTTAGATCCTATTGAACAAAGTAGACATCACTCTCAGTTGGGGAAGTGTTGATCTCAAATGATTGGATATTACTTTTACGTTTTTTTAGTCTCAATAAGGAACCAACTTGAAAAACATTGAGAATTATTCAAAACGGTTTTTAGACTCAGATTTTGCTTTTTGTCTCGGCTTTTCTGAACTTGAGTGACATCCAGGCGTGACCCAAACAAACATCAAACTCTGATTCGAGGGCTTCAACATCATCTTCTAAGTAATTAAGCACATGAAAATATGCATGTATGCAGTCTGGGATCGACAAATTTGATAACCTCAACCAAAAGAAACCATAAACCAATCGCTCATTCACGTGACCTGTGCATCGTATTTTCAACTCTCTTCTTGATGTTTCATCTGGTGATAAAACACTGCGTCTCCTGCCTGATATACTTCATCTCCTGTAATGGTATGATGGAAACAGTACCTCTAGTTTTTAACAGAATAGGAGGCATTAGCCACATGATAAACACAAAGCAAAAGGGTCCAAAGGATGAAATACTGACGTAAATTTGCAAATAAGTATAAAGGAAGGCTGTAAGGCAGACGCTAAAGGCAGTTTTTAATAATCTTAAGGCCCTTCCGCCCTCACTGGTTATTGATATATTATTACAATCTTAGGTTAGTAAACGGTAATGACTTTCAAACGTACATTCTCTAGCATGCGTCTATTTAAAGCTGTTGTCTGCATTTACTTCTTGACCACATTTGCTACAACTATTACTTCATTACATTATTACAACGCTACCCATCCAACGAAAGGCTCAGTGAGGTTTATTGTTGGTCGCAATGTATGACTATATGTCAGGGATTGAATCGTTGGAGAACAACTGTAACGTAGTTGTGAGACAATGAACTTGACAGAAGCTGAAGAACACAACTCGTTTAATCACAGGAAAAGGCTTGGTCATCTACTTGTCATTACAGAAGAGAAAGCACGCTCCTATCCTGGGCCCTGAGGGCCTGGAACTAACAACATTGTCACAACAACCTTTTGACCAGCTACATAGTCTTGGTAGGTAAAAAAGTTTGCACCAGGAAAGACAAAAAACATTCCTTAGTGAAGGAATACGTCCTCTTCTGGATCACCTAAAACCAATAGCACAGAAACATCAACCCTGACCAAAAGCTTCTTCATGGTCATACAATCAAAGCCATGTTCTCTTGTTTTATGTTGAAAAAGTAAAAGCTGCATACAAGAAGAAAATAACGCAAGGACCTATTAAAACATTGAAAAATAACTGTGCATGTTCATCCACATTAAAATATTTTTGATATGATGTGAATTACTGTTCAAAGAATTCCACTTTCTAGTTTTATAATAAATTAATTATTAGCAATTATTATTCATTCAAAATATTTCCGTTTCTGATTGGCTAAGCACACGCATAGTTCACCATAACCAGTTACTGATGACCAAATTTGGAAGAATTTTGTGTTTAGCCAGGAAACCACGTCAAAAATGCAGCGTTCTTGCAGCTTAATGCACCGTTAACTGATAAGACCGGGGGACGAGGTTGAGTTGTTTTGTTTGTTTAAACTAAAAATGGCGGACATTTCACTCGTTTTCAAGTTGCTTAAAATAGTTTAGATATTATCTAAATTATTGTTCTGAGAATTTCATTAAAGAATGAAAATGATATATTATTTGCAAATAATCTTTTTCTTCTTTTCTTTCATTGCAGGGTCTTTTACTGCTTGCTGTAAGGCACCATCTACTAAGATACTTGAGTCATGTTGATTTGTGGTAGAACACCCGGTGAATTGATATGACAATCTGTAGTTTTTAGACCTCCTTCTTTTCTTCTCTCATAATCACAATCACCACAGTCATCTGCACTCAACTCAGCTGCATCAACATTTTCAGAAGTGTAAACCAAACGTGTGGTCAATGGAAGAGATTGTTCATGTTCTTTTGAATCTTCTTGATCACGAGGCAAAGAGAGATCCTGGTTTTCTGCATCTGCTTGGATTTCCTCCGCAGTATAATCTTCTGGCTCTGGCCATTCCTCATCTCTGAACACTCTGTAATACTCGGTGTCTGCTACGTAGCCTTCAGTGTTGTAGACTTTCACTTTTCTTCACTTTTCCAAGGAGTTCATAGGGAATTACTGTGTCAGGAAACTGTGGAAGGTTACTGGCAAACTTTCCTATCTTTAACTGTTGTTCAAGGAAGCTACTTTTCGTTGTTTTAAAATTTCGTTCTGCTTGAGCTCAAACTATGCAGGTGGGAATTATATGCTCTGGATGATCATTGGAGGTTGTCTTGCTAATGGAATTGATGGTGCTAAATTCTCTTTCCTCCTCCTATGTTTCTATTGAACTAAGTGAGATTAGATGTGATGTGAAGGGGGCGTGGCAGGTTATGCTGTGATATTATATTCCATACAGTTTTCTATGTGTCAGGATTTCTGTAGTGGTAGATACCTTTTGAACTGTAACTACAATAATAATAATAATAATGAGTCTTTATTTCATCAAAAGATAAAACTACATATCATATATTACAATAAAACATATGTTACAACAAAACGGAGGATAAAAAACTATGATAAAAATTTCTACATATATATATATAATTATGTCATTACAATAAATGGAGCTTAAAAATCAACCTATTTACAAAGGAGTTCATAAAATGCTGTGTATTAATTTTCGGACGCGTGCAGCCTTTTGTCCTAAGATTGTGTACATAAGTCTTCTGGACAGGAATGATATCTTTCAGGGGGTAGCAATCGGTTGATATTAATTTCTTTAAAACGTTTCGTTCTTGTTTATTTAAAAGATCCTTGATAGAAACTGGAAATCAAATAAAACGGTGTTTATGGCATCGGTCTAAAAAAATTTTGTATAACCGTGAGATCGGACTCCGATGCCCCATAGACTGAAAGCGCATAGCTAAAATTAGGTAAAACAATAGATATAAAAAGGTGATCTATCTCTGCCTGAGAGTAGTGTTCTTTTCTTAGTGTTCGTAGGACGTGTAAACACTTGTTTGCTTTGACAAGCTTGGTTCTTACGTGCTCCTTAAATTTCCCGTTACTCTGTAGAATTACTCCTAGTAAAACGAAGCTATTACATTGAGGAATATTGTTAATTGGAGAGTAGAGTACATTGTGATTTTTCTTTCTAACAACCAGCTCTTTGGCAACAAGACATGGCAAAATGTCGCATACTATGCCGGGGGGGATGCATTTGTCTGAAGGAGTGTACAACAGTTCACAGAGTTCTGCAAGACTGTACAGTAACCTTCTTATAGTTAGATGGCAGTTGCTTCCAAGGTGAAGTGCAAGAACGATATAACAAAGATGGTAATCTGGTCCCCTTAACTTTTCTTTTGTGGTGAGAACTGCTTCTATGGCCTCCTCAAACACGTTTATTTTACGTCAATACTGTGAGAAATCGTGTTCTTATCGACGTCAATTCTACGTCTATGTTATTCCCCTCTATCAGTAATTAATCCACAATATCACTCAAATCATTTTATTAATAAACCTTTTATATTTGGGACATTTGAAAAGTCAGATGACTTTTCACCTATTTGTCTTACTGCATAGCTATTATACTTAACATCACTCATATAAAAAGACAGTAAAAACTGACTGTGAAAAAGACTTGAAACTTGTTGAAAATATGAAAACGAAAGGATGCCGCCATGTTAATCTCTTTCAGAAAAAGTTATATTTCCATCAAACTACAATTATTTACAATTATGAAAAAACACACTATATTTACATCAGGAGCTACGATAACCAAATTCTCTCATACAATTGATTCATTTCTGCTTCTAAATCGAAGCGCAACTCATTAAAAAACAAAACCCTTTTTCTAAAATAAATTAACGGATCTATCAACATTTTGTCACAAAAAAGATGGGAAAAGTGTGAACATCAACTTAAATCTGTGGAAAGCCATGC